AGAAAAGTCCTATCACCGCTTTTGGCTAATGTGAGGCTCAGCTGTGCGGTTATCTGTGGCTGTTGGCTACAGTCGAGGCTCGTAACCGAAGTTGTTCAAAGAGGCGCTCCGTCTGGCAGAGGAGACAGCAAGAAGGGGCAGAGGAGGCCAGAAAGAACAGCAGGGCCTGTCTCCCCAGGGGTACAGGAAGGGGGCGTGTATCTCCTACAAGGACACTCAGGATACAATGGGTGAGTTTGTCAATAGAATCCCAGTAATAAATGCAACAGTTTCTCACCAGACTCCCCACTATGGCCAAGCAATGCACTGGACTTTACTATGTTTCTTTCTTTTTTTTTTTTGAGACAGAGTCTCACTCTGTTGCCCAGGCTAGAGTGCGTGGCCGTGGCGTCAGCCTCCGCTCACAGCAACCTCAAATCCTGGGCTCAAGCGATCCTCCTCCCTCAGCTCCCGAGTAGCTGGGACTACAGGCATGCGCCACCATGCCCGGCTAATTTTTCTCTATATATGTTGGCCAATAATTTTTTTATTTATAGTAGAGCGGGTCTCGGTCTTGCTCAGGTCAGTTTCGAACTCCTGACCTCGAGCAATCACCCGCCTCGGCCTCCCAGAGTGCTAGGATTATAGGCGTGAGCCACCACGCCTGGCCTGTTTAATTTTTTTTTTACAAGTCTCCTGTGACTATAACCATCTCTGTTTCTCTTTGCTTATTTTATTTGCCTTTGCCCTCATTCTCTCCTACTCCGAAATGACATTCTTCAATGCTAAAAAGCAATACGGTAGGCTGTGGTGATGGACTCACATCCTAATAGCTTCCTGATCAAAAAAGGAAAAGAGGCTGGGCGTGCGGTGGCTCACGCCTGTCATCCTAGCACTCTGGGAGGCCGAGGCGGGCGGATCCTTTGAGTTTAGGAGTTCAAGACCAGCCTGAGCAAGAGTGAGGCCCCCGTCTCTACTGAAAAAAAATAGAAAGAAATTAGCTGGACAACTAATATATATATAATTATATAAAATATAAAAAATTATATAAAATATTAAAAAATTTATATATAAAATTAGCCGGGCATGGTGGCGCATGCCTGTAGTCCCAGCTACTCGGGAGGCTGAGGCAGGAGGATCGCTTGAGCCCAGGAGTCTGAGGTTGCTGTGAGCCAGGCTGACGCCACGGCACTCACTCTAGCCTGGGCAACACAGTGACTCGTCTCAAAAAAAAAGAATTATTTATTTCTAGCCCCTGATTGAAAAATTCCAAGAAAGATCTAAAATTGGGTCACAGGAAGCCGGTGGGGCAGGGAATAGTAGTGATTGGCCCAATTTGGGTCAAGTGTTCAAAGAAATGAGGTCTGTTATAGAATTTAAAGGTGCTGGGCCTTACTAAGAACACAAAGGAAATCCAATTTTCTAACTCATTTATTTATAACCTCTTTCCCCCAGGGCCCAGTCTATCCATAAACTTTGTTAAAAGTTGAAACTCCTATCCATGTTATATAGAGAAAATGTGAGTAGCAAACAGCTCTTATATTACGCGACACATTAGGAGCAGTGACTTTTTTAAAACATGATTTCTTTTTATTAAATGAACGATTAGTAAAAGATTAACGTGCTTTTTTATATAAAGGAATCCTGGTAGGTTTTCCTGAGATTGATCGCAAAGGTTTTTTTGTTCCTAAAATTTTTGTTGAGTAAAATAGAAATTTTTATTGCCTAAGGATCTTGGTATGAAAGAGAACAATAAACCGTTTAACCTCTGTTTAACCTTTCCTAGCGTGTTTATTTAGACAGCCTGTCGATGTTGACACGATTCACCCAAGAATGTAACCCAGGTTACGTATAGTTAGATATAATTTATTTACAGATCCGTAGAACTTTGGTTGCCTCTATGACAGACTTTAAGAAAAATAAACTGAACGGGCAACAGCTTTCATCAGATAGTGTCAACATACAAAAGTAATAACAAAACTGAGACAATTCCAACCCTTAACAACTTTGTTTCCCCAACTCAAGGATTTGACCAACAGTCAAACAAGGAGATATTTATTAGAGCCCAGATACGGATAACGTAAGCCCACTAAACCTTTACATCAAAATCTCACCCATTTCTCCAACTTTAATATCAATAATCCCATCAAAATCAAAATAAAACCCACCGAAACCTTATTTTCTTTTGCAAAAACTACAATCTTGCAACAGCGTTGGCGGAATGAAAATTCAAGAACGATTTACCTTTCCCAGCACATGGGCTGCAAAAAGCTCAAATACCGGGCCGGGCACTGTGGCTCACACCTGTCATCCCAGCACTCTGGGAGGCCGAGGCAGGAGGATCGCTCAAGGTCAGGCGTTAGAAACCAGCCTGAGCAAGAGCGACACCCCCATCTCTACTAAAAATAGAAAGAAGTTAATTGGCCAACTAAAAATATATAGAGAAAAAATGAGCCGGGCGTGGTGGTGCAATGCCTGTAGTCCCAGCTACTCGGGAGGCTGAGGAAGGAGGATCGCTTGAGCCCAGGAGTGTGAGCGAGGCTGATGCTACCTCGGCACTCACTCTAGCCTGGGCAACAGGGTGAGGCTCTGTCTCAAGAAAAAAAAAAAAAAAAAAAAAAGCTCAAATACCCTGACTTTTTCAAAGTACAGGGGCTAAATCCCACAGTCCTTGGAACTTGGGGGGAAACACTTAAAATCGTAAGCCCAGGGGGACATGAACTATGTCTAGCATTTCCCCATCACGGATCTCAGACATTCAGCTAAGGGTTATTTCAGAGACGGCCAGGTCTGTTTCTGGCTTAATCCTAAACCAAACGCCTTTGGGGCCGCCCACGTAAATAAATGCCAGGGTCCTCCACAGCACCATGACGTCCCTCTTTCTTGTCCCCTTCTCCCCACGGATGCTCTCCTCTGCTTTGCAGGCAGCCTTTCTGCCCAGGGGGAACCCCTGTGTGTACCGGTCCCAAAAGCCGGGGTGAAGTTTCCCCACGACCAAGCTAGCCCGCTCCCCTGCAGCCCCTGGGAGGGAGGACAGTCGAGTCCGACAGTTGAAACATAACAGGAAAGCAGCTCCTCTCGGTTCCTGCAGCAGGAAACAGCTCCCAGCGCCAAGACCAACTCCGCCGCCAAGACCCCAGTCATCCGGAGTTTGACATTCTCTGTTTAATGCCACTGCTACTGAAGAAATAACGCTTTGCAAAAAAAAAAACACACAAAAAACACGCCGCGTCTAACATCCATCCTGTTCGGCACAGAACCTCTATAGCAAACACAGAGACCTTTGTCCCTGCACATGCTGGACAAAGACCTCCAGTTATAATAAACCTCCTCTCATTTGGGACCTGCCAATCAATCCAAAAAAAAAAAAATTAAAAACACAGAAAATAAACGCAAGACTTTTTAGAACGTCGAAAACACAGATCCAGACCAAAGAGCAATCTATTCGGCCCAATGTTTTGTCTCTGAGAGTGGAAACTTAGTAGCGAATGGTTCAAGGAATTTATGTGGTTGCCCGTCACGGTGAGGTAGTGATTGGGCCTCAACTATCTCTAACTGACCTTAACCGCTTAGGGACCGCGCTCACCGGCCGAGACCCCTCGCCCACGGCCGGCACTCGAGGTCCCCACGGTGGTCTGTGCTGTGCATGGATGGCGCGTCCGTCTCGCTCTTGTGTGACGAGGAAAGCTTGGAGGCACCGAGAGCTTGTTTGACTTCACAAGAGGCTTTACTTGCATGTAAATATCAGAACAGGTAACACAGACATGTATGTTCTCATGACGTTATTTTTAAATGTTCCCAGTTTTATTTTGATGCGTGAAAAACTCGAAAAGTCATACCACGGCTGTCGGCTAAAGTTTGACGCCCCGGCCGTGCGCGTTCATCTAACAATTTCCTAGTATACGATTAATACGATTAATTCCACCATTGAAAGGCAGGGTTTTTACCAGACATAGAACGGATTATGTACAATCAATTATATGTAGGATAATGCCCGATTCAAAATGGCAGCAGAGGAAACATTCCTTCACAGTGAACTTGTGATTTGAAATCCTGACTGTTCATTCCTATTTATCATCGTGAAAAAAATAAGTAGAACTTGACCAAAACGATGAATGGGCCAACAAGCAACCCTCAGTGTGCAGTGTCAGCTGTGGCCAGCCTAGATTCTAGACTGCTGCTTTCCGTGGGCGGATCATTTGAGCTCAGGAGTTCAAAACCAACCTGAGCAAGATCGAGGCCCCGTTTCTACTATAAATAGAAATTAATCGACCAACTAATATATATAGAAAAAATGAGCCGGGCATTGGTGGCGTATGCCTGTAGTTCCAGCTACTCGGGTGGAGGCTGAGGCAGGAGGATCGCTTGAGCCCAGGTGTTTGAGGTTGCTGTGAGCTAGGCTGACGCCAAGGCACTCACTCTAGCCTGGGCAACAAAGTGAGAATCTGTCTCAAAAAAAAAAAAAAATTTTTTTTGACATTAGGCTGGGTGCAGTGGCTCATGCCTGTAATCCTAGCACTCTGGGAGGCCGAGGTGGGCAGATGGCTCAAGGTCAGGAGTTCGAAACCAGCCTGAACAAGAGCGAGACACCGTCTCTATTAAAAATAGAAAGAAATTCATTGGCCAACTAAAAATATATAGAAAAAATTAGCCGGGCATGGTGGCGCATGCCTGTCGTCCCAGCTACTCGGGAGGCTGAGGCAGGAGGATCGCTTGAGCCCAGGAGTTTGAGGTTGCTGTGAGCTAGGCTGACACCACGGCACTCTAGCCAGGGTAACAGAGTGAATCTCTGTCTTAAAAAAAAAAAAAATTTAAACATTAATTTCTACAGGTACACATTGGGAATATAAATGCACAGGGAAAAAAAATTCAGAGACACATTAAACCCCTATGTTTATGCTAATTTTCTTAGCTGTGATCCGTGAGGTGCCTATATGGAAAACATTTTTAGATCCCTATAAAAATAATTTGAGATCACCCGGGAGAAAGGCGAAAGAAAATGAGCACAGGGTTTCAGGCTTGTCTCTTGTCAGCAGAAAAGATTTATTATTCCTTGTAAGGACAAACGATTAAACCACATCCAAGGGGGGCTTCACTTACAGACACAAACCAAAGTGGCCACGGAAAGCCTCAGATATCCAGGTACGAGACAGACGGTGCGGGGCGGGGGAGGCTTTGACGCCATGTGAGGCTGAGGCCAGACCGGGCTTGATGGACAGCACGTGCTGGGGTGTGGCGAGGGGAAGAGCTTGTCTGCAGGACGGCTGTGTTTCACAAACACCGGAGCATTCTAGACTGCTGGGGAGGTATATATATCCTCGCGGTGAAGGAAGGGGGCCGGGAAGAGAGCCGAGTCCCTCCCGCGGGGCACTAGGCTGCCTTGCAGAGGGCCACGGCAGAGAAACGGACCTCCCCCTGCTCACGCTCCGTGAATTCTCTGCAGACCTTGGCCGCATCCTGGAAAAGGAGGAAGGTCGTTAACATCCAGACAACATGGCGAGGCCGGGCGCGGCTGCTCACGCCTGTCATCCCACCCTGCACTCTGGGAGGCCCAGGCGGGAGGATCGCTCTCAAGTTCAGGAGTTCGAGACCAGCCTGAGCCAAGAGCAAGACCCCGTCTCTACTAAATATAGAAAGGAAATTAATTGGCCAACTAAAAATATATAGAGAAAAAATGAGCCGGGCATGGTAGCGCATGCCTGTAGTCCCGGCTACTCGGGAGGCTGAGGCAGGAGGATCGCTTGAACCCAGGAGTCTGAGGTTGCTGTGAGCTAGGCTGACGCCACGGCACTCACTCTAGCCCGGGCAACAGAGTGAGACTCTGTCTCAAAAAAAGCAAACTAAAGGGAATCAAGATTGGCATCTGCATTTTATCTATAAGAGCTTTCAATATATGATTAACGTCCCAGACCTTCCCCTTCCCCAAATCAACTTCCCTAGAGGACTCAGCATTGATTTCTACAGTAAGGGAAGAGAAAACAGATCTTTCTCAACAGACGACGTGCAAAGAGTGACATCTTGCATTCAAGTTTAGGGTACGTAACTTGGGTTAAGTTTATATATTTTCTCACCAGTTTAACAATCATTTAAGGTGACATTCAGAAAACCTATATAACATCTTTAACCATACAGAACCAGCCTCACCAAGGATAAGAACCTAACTACGGAAGATGCTGGTTGAATGTAATTAGAATCTCACTTAATTCTATAGGAGATTTTAATCATAATTAAAAAAAAAAGGTTTTCCTTCCCTGCACCTCAAATCCTACCCACGTGACAGTGTTAGGCTCCTAAGGTGGGGCACGTTTCTCGGTATTAGCATGTTAGGTATGAGTTTGCTCTTTCTACTAGAGCTTTAAAGGCAAATGCTAAGTCTTCCCCACAAAGGAATCGAAGCCCAGAAATTCTGCTGCTGCTCTTACTCTCTTCCACAAGTGAATTCTGACTCTCTCATGAAACACCCCCTGCATCCCGCCTCTCCAGATCTATTCTTCATTCCTGATCATGTTTTTTTTTTCTTTGAGACAGAGTCTCACTCTGTCGCCCCGGCTAGAGTGAGTGCCGTGGCCTCAGCCTCGCTCACAGCAACCTCAAACTCCTGGGCTCAAGAGATCCTCCTGCCTCAGCCTCCTGAGTAGCTGGGACTACAGGCATGCGCCCCCACGCCCAGCTAATTTTTTTCTATATATATTAGTTGGCCAATTAATTTCTTTCTATTTATAGTAGAGACGGGGACTTGCTCTTGCTCAGGCTGGTTTTGAACTCCTGACCTCGAGCGATCCGCCCGCCTCGGCCTCCCAGAGTGCTGGGGTGACAGGGGAGGTTTTAGATTCTTCCAAATGCCACCGCCAGACCCACGAAAGGAAGCCTGGGTATGAAGCGACAGGCTGCAGAGGAGGGTCAAGCGTTCCTCGATATTCACCCCGAGCAATTCTAATCTACAATTATTAGGACGATCGCCGCAAGCTCGGTTCAGCTCCACCAAAAGAGAGGGGCTAGTTGGTGCCCCCTCTCCCCGGGAGGGACCACAGAGCAGCAATCAGGGGCAAGCTCTGACCGGGAGCTTGGGTACAGGAAAAGTAGAGGCAAGAAGGGATTTCACTGCCCTCCACCGACTGCAGATTGCCCCCACCAGGAAAAATCATAAAATTGGACACACTAAACATACAGTATCGTGATCATACACCCATCTAGGCGAGTTTCCAATTGTAAATAAGAAATGGCTGTTTGCTCAATGGCTTTACTCACTATACATCTTAAGAAGATCCAATGGAACAATAAGTAAATGATCTTATTTATATAAATATATTTAATTAAATCCATCACATCTTGATATTTACCCATTTCATTTTTTGGATGCACAATGGCATTAAGTTCTCTCATGACTTCCTAATATCATCATATTTAAATTGTTTACAAGAATGACATAAAGCTAAACCACATTTTGATTCAGTCTATCTATAAATGAGATTCTTTGGTAATATATATTATATATATATACTACTTTTAGATTGGCCAATAATTGTTTCTTTCCTATTTTTAGTAGAGACCGTTGATGTCTGGCTCTTGCCTCCAGAGCGGTCCTTGAACCCTCCCCCTGACCCTTGAGGGCGGTCGGTCCTCTCCCGTCCTGGGGCCTCCCAGAGGCCTAGGAGGCAGCCTGCGTGTTCCCAGCCGGTCCCAGGCCTGGCCTGGTTTGTTTTATGTTATTCGTTACGACCAGAGCTCTTGCACTTCCTGTTGTGCCTCGGTGTCTCTATAGAGTGGGGCCCGGTCGTCAGCCTACGGCCTACCACAGCACCTGCCACAAACCTCTGGGCTCGGAAGAGATCCATCACACTCTGGCCTCAGGCCTGCCCCAAGTAGGCTGGGACTCACACAGGCGGTGGTGCGGCACCAATGCCGGCTAATTTGTTTTTTAATAATATATCATCTTTTTAGTTTGGCCAAGTTAATTTTCTTTCCTAATTTTAGTGAGACGAGGTCTCGCCTCCTTACTCAGGGGGCTGGGGTCTCAAACTCTGACCTCGTAGGGATCGCGGCCCGCGCCTCAGGCCTCCAGAGTGCTAGGATGGACAGGCGTGAGGCCACCATGCACCGGTCCTGTTTCAACACTGGTTTATGACAATCAAGAAAGAGACATCCAGCTTATAGTTTCCCTCCTTTCGTAATTATGGGAAGACTTGGCAAACATTGTTGGCCTCACGATTATGAGAACAGGTTCCCTGCTGCGGGCTTAGCAAGGGGCGAGGCACACAGGAGACCTGATGGTCTGTAACAAGGAAGCCGGGCAGGTCAGTTCCTCTTGCACCTTTGCCTGGTTCTGCGTCCCAGCCCCACAGGGGGTTTTATCTTATCTTATCTTTTTTTATTTATTTATTTATTTTTACAGAGCAGTCTCCTCACTTTGTTGCCCGCTTAGAGTGAGTGCCGTGGCGTCAGCCTCGCTCACGCCAAACCTCCAACCTCCTGGGCTCAAGAGATCCTCCTGCCTCAGCCTCCCTCCGTGTAGCTGGGGGCTACAAGGCATGCGCCCCGACGCCCAGCTAATTTTTTCCGTTATATATTATTTGGCCAATT